AATCGCCGGTTGAGACATACTATTATTTATTATTTTAAACTATTCATTTTATTTGTTTTAATGTTATTTGTTTGTAAATTAATATATTTTTTATTTATTTAAACATTACAATATTATTTTTTATATACTATAATGATTAAACGAATATTTATTTTAATTTAATAGTACATTTTATTAAATATTTTTATTTTTTTTTTTAAGATAATAAAAGTTTTCATTTGAAAAGTCACAAAAATAACATAATATTCTGTTTTAGTGGTGAATTTTACTCGATATGCATATTATATAGAATAAACTTATTCGGAATGACAAATTATACCACTTTCGTTATATCATTATCTTTTTACGTCGCAATTATTTGTGTTCCATTTTACAGGATTATCATAGACAATAAGACAATATTGAAATATTATCCAACTTTATGAGCAGTATTTCTTACAATTGGACCCATAACCATTAATAATAAAAACATTCATTCTTTATCGCTTACGGAAAACGAAGGAAAATATCTAGTATTCGTGATATTGGCCAAACGGTAGGCTGTAGTATATCGCAGAAAAAAGAGCACTAAAAACGTCTTCGGAATCCTCCCCCATTTAGTGGACATAAATGTAGAGAGACACGATAATGCTCTCACGTATTCCATTTTAGATTGAAGTAAAGGTCACGTATACAAAATACATATATATATATATATCATAATCAGACATTATTTTTATTTTTTATTTATTATTATTTTTTTGCTTGACGTGAAAACTTTAAAATGCCGTCCAGTTACAAACACTCTTTTTTTCGGCTTTATCATTCTAATACTTTTAACTCGAATATTTAAAAGCAATTTTTTTTGTCCGTAAAAACGTTACGCTACAAGGATTCCATATTATTATATTATTTTACACTACTTCAAAAACAAACGTTTGTATTTAAATACAAATGTTTTAATACATATAGTGTTCTACTAGTTTTACACTGTTTATCTTGATTTATTAAAACTAAACAGAAACACTATATTATAATCAAAAAAATCTTTTTCCTAAATATATTTGTTTCACTTTAGGTTTCAGCGGTGATTAAAAAGAAAAATAAAACAAATAAGTATCTTGAGTAGGTTAGTAAGGTTTAATTCCTTTTCTAATAGCCATTACTTACTGGTTGTTTCCTAAATTATAAGTTATTTCAAAAAAGCAGACGGTTGAAAATGTCCTTATACTATGCCTAATGACCGGTAAATAACTAAACATAAATAAATCTACTTTAAAATAACTGGAAAATTATTCCAGAAAATATCTGTAGACTGTTTTTAATACTATAGTGAATAATTTAATAATTTATATATATATACGTAATAAACAAACCTAAAGCCACAATATTGTTTAATTGAATCTCTGCAAACAATTTTGTATTCAGTGTTCATTATAGTGGTGAAACTTAAAAAAGCTTAATAGAAATAATTACAAATAAGTTGTTCATTTTGTTTTTCTAGAAAAGTATTAATTATTACAATTTGTTAAACATGTTTAAATAAATTAAAATTTATCATTTTAATATTTATTTTATTTTATTATTATTCGATGGAATATCTAAAAAATACTTAGCTGTTGATAACATGCAATTAATTAATTTAGAATTTAAGCCATAAAATAAAAAATATATACTATAGTTATAAATTATTAAATCCAAAATATTTTATACGATATTCATCATTATTTTTTTATTAAACGACAACAGTGTTATTTTGTAGCATTAAACTTATAAAATAATTATTTCTCTGCACCACTGCACACGATTTTAAATTTAATATCTTCTGTCTAAATATAACAATACGATTTGATGGTGTAAATTATATTACATTTTTCTTATCATTGTATTTTATTAACAACATCCGTGAAAAACAATAAACTTATTTTTTATAAACAAAATAAAAATGTACAGTTTCGTTCATTGTGACAAAACAAACTTGAACGACAATTTTCAATATATTTCATTAACTTCTTTTTGGCACATATTTTATTTTAACACTTATTTTTGCATATGGAATTCAATATTTCATGGAAGTTTTCCGACCATTCATAGTCAATATATTATATTGATTGGTTGATGTGAAAAAAAATGATTGAAATAAGTCTGATTTTTTTACTGCTGACTTTTCGCTTATTGTCTAACTTGTTTTATACAACACATAATATCTTTTTAAAAACAAATTAGTTGGTACTTCGAGTATAATAAATAATAATTGTTATTTTCAGTAAATAAAAACTAGTTATCAAACAGTTCAGTCAATATAAAATAAAAAATATAGCCGTGCCACTATGTTTTTTTTTCTAGTTTCTAATAATACAATAATTTACAATAATATTAGCATAGTACCTAATAATTTATCTTCAAATAAGATTAGATTCTTTGGAACAAGTATTAGTTATGATATACCTTATAGTTAATTTACTATTAATTTAAATATTTTATTAAAAAATATCAATTGATTTACTTATTTTTATAAAATCTTAATTCAAAAAATCTATGATGATCAATTATTAAAAATTTTAAAATAAATTATATGTATATATATATATATATATGTATTTTAAATTTAAATTTTTGGTTTCAATATTAGATATTTAGATGCATATTATTGTTTTAAAAATATAAATAACCAATTTTAATATTTTCGATTTGTCTACAAAAAAAAAAAAATAAAAAGCAAAAGCTGTTTATGGTAAAATATACATTAAAATCAATAGACATAAACATTAAATACCTTCCTACGTAATAAATTATAATAAGGAGATACATCATTTGTTTCAGGAAGTTATAACCAGATTTCTATGAAATCCCTTTTAGTTGGTTACATTGGCTTTATATTTTGTTTTAATATACCTTTTAGCTGTTTGATTCATCTTCCTAAAAAAAAGTATGTACCGGCACTATGTGCTATAAATTATAATATTCCCTTCGTTCTGAATATTATTTTTACTTATATTTAAAAGTGACCTTTTCATAAATATTTTAAGAACAAACATAGACTACTTTATGAGTTTTCTAAAGTCTACAAATTTTCGTATGTATAGTATTATTTTACTGTATATTACACTATAATAAGTAATTTTGGTTTTAATAAACATGACATATTATAGCAGCACTTGATAATTTTAGTAATAACATAAACAGAATTTAATGAAAAAATATTCTCAGTATTACTATAATAGTAGGTAAACATAAAATGTATTAAAATGAAAATGTTTAAACACGCATTTTACTATACGTGGAAAATAAATAAAAAAATAAAACTAAGCTGATTATTTTTTAAACATTTATCACGATTTAACAAACCACTAATTAAATAACTATAATACCTCATGGCTCATGCTCTCTCAGGAATTTTTCCGCATTATCTAAAATTGATATTATATTGAGATATAACCCGACACCAATAATAAAAAATATATAAATACTCAAAAAATAATATTAAACATCAGTAGAAGTGATTTCAATGCGAGACTTCTCCTCGGGTGAATTTTTCACTGTCAATTAAATATATAGTGTATGTTATCGCAAGTTATTATTATAAGTACTACAAATTGTATTTTTTTTTTAAATAATATAGAAAAATGTATATATATATATATATATATACATATTTATTTATATATAACCGATGATGTGTCTTATTTGTTATTATTTTATATAGCCATTTTTATTTTATTTTCTTGAAATATAATTAAGTGGCTATAATTGTACAGTCTTATAAACATCATCAAAATTAATCTGTCGTTAAATAATAAAGTAATTAAATAACTATTAGTTTATTCATGGTAATTGTTTAAAGCTTGTAGATAAAGGAATATCAAGTATGAATAAATTATTTCAACAAATTAGACATTATGCATAATTAATATAAATAAAATTATAAAATTGTTTCAATTTTTTTAAATATATTATACTATAATTATACACGCTTTCATTTTTCAATATTATGTAATACATAAATAGTTTGAGTTTTAAATGCATTAAATGTACCAAGTGAATGATTATCACGTTTATTAATAATTTATACTTAAATAAATAGAAAAAAAACCATGTAGGTACATAATACAATAAAAATAAACACGAGATTTAAGTGATATTTTTTTTTTTTTTTAATGTGAAGTATAAGTGATACATTTTATGATTAAATCATAAATGACATAAATAGTAAATACTTGCTAAAATAACAATATATTAAAAAAATATCTTCAAAAGATGCAAAAATATTTCATTGATCACTTAATAAAAACTTTTTTTTTAAATTACTAAGACTAAGTGAAAATTTGGTCTCTCAGACCTTGGAAAAAAATAACAATTAACTAATAAGCCGTTCAAAAGCATACTTCATATTTATACAGATATGGGTGATTAATAAGAATTTTATTTATTTGATTTTATTCAGTTGATAACATACCTATACAGCTAAGCTTAATTACTACCATTACTTGATTTTATATTGATTTATTGCGTGTAAATAATAAATACTTTAAAAATAATACAATAGTTTTTAAATTTCAATATCAATAATCCAGTTTTTGATAATCAATAAATAATACTTTGTTTCCTTTATAAATATCAGAGACTAACAAAAAATCAATATCTGCATCTATAAATATCTGATTATGTCACACGAAAAATAAATAAATCGTAAAGTATGAGTGTTATAAAAATAAACAAAAGTCATTCAATTTATTTAAATCAATTTTATTTGTTTATTTAACTTGTAAACATCAACAATCAAATATCATTAAAATTAAATATAAAATATTTTTTTACAAATTTCCGATATTCAATAATATGTATTATAAATCAAACTTTTATTACACTTTGATTTGATTTTGGAGAGCTTTTTTTATATTTTTCTTTTTATCAGTGTATAAACAAAATATATTTATGGAGAGAAATTTCTTATAAATTGTTGACCTATTAAATAATAATATTGTTTAAAGATAAAAAAATATATAACTTTTTTTTTTCAGCATTTGTGTTACTGTAGTTGTATTGAACGTTCATTTTCGATCACCTCAGACGCACAAAATGGCACCTTGGGTAAAAAGAGTGTTCATTCATATACTGCCAAGACTTTTAGTAATGCGAAGACCTCAATACCAATTTGAACCAAATAAGTAAATATGCACAATATGAATACGCATAAATTAAGTTTGAAAATCTATGTTATGAAAAAAAATGATTTATAATAAAAAATTTGTATATTTGCAAATTTAAATTTGTATTTAAGCTCAATACATAACAATAACGTTAATAAAATAAATTAAAAATTACTGTTTACTTATTTTTAAGCGGTAATTCTATGAGAAATACTTTCGTATTACTGCTTACTTTACTAAAAATAACCTGCAAAACAACATAATATATTAAATTAATTTATTTCTCATAACATTAATTTGCTGAATTAGCCATTTCATAGTGGTTAACATAAAAACACGATTATTCATTAATGTATCTCTTAATTAAATTTATTAATACTAAAATTATTGATAATGCATTTTTTTTCAAAACCAAAAATTTTATAGTTCTAATACTGTACAGTTTCAATAAATATAGCCAATACTGGGTATGGAATGGATAATAATTATATGATATGATGGTACTTCAAAAATTTAACAATCTAGCTAAAAAAGTACACAATGTTAATAATTGTGTGCTGTTTTTATGTTTTATTGGAATTAATTAATTAAATATACTTTGAAAATTCTAATAACTTTTTTTTTTTTTTTTATCAAAATATCAACCATAGTCTATTTCTTAACGTTAGAAAGATGTGAGCTATTGTAATATAGTAATTACCGATGAGACGATTAATAAAAACACAAATTGCTTCATTGTTTATTTTTATTAATTTATCTTACTCATCTAAGTTTTTAAAATAGCGAAAGAGCTATTATTTCATTAAAATATAAAACAAAATGTATACTAAATAATAACATACATTTTAAAAAATTCAAGGTAATATAGTTACAGTTGACAGTTTAGATACAGTATTATTACTTTATGACAAATTACTTTAAAAGTTTAATAACCATTTAACATTATGCATGAAGATTAAAATAAACTACATTTTACATGTATTAAATAAATTTATATTTTAGTTGTTTTTAAAACAAGTATTTCAGTAAAGATTAATTTAAAAAAATAAATAAACAAAAAAAATTATTCAGAAAAAAATAAGTATTGCAAATTTTGATAAGACTATGTTTTAACCGTAAAATCTATGTTGTTCCATTATATGCTTTAATAATATAAATAACATAGGTATATACTGTACGATAATTTTATAATTATTAATCATTTATATTTTATAATATTTTAAATACTTTTATAAAAATAAAATATTTTTTAATGGTATTATATATTTGGAAACCTACATTTGTACAAACATATCACTACGATCGCAAATTAAATTTCTTATTCGTATTATATAAAATATACGTATATATTATATACATATAATATACCTATAATATTACAATCTATTAAAACTAAAATTAATTAAACAAACTTACAATAAATAATATTAATTACAACGCATTGCTATCTACAATATGACAAATATAATAAACTTACCGGATATAATTTTCAGCATGATATAATACATAAGCAATATAGGATCATTCGTGTATAGAACAAAAATTTTTAAATGATCAATCATCAACCGCTCCCACTCTTCGGAAAAATATTATATTTTATTTATGAAACGTGGTTAGTGTCTTTGAAATCTAATAACGCGATTTATGGGTTTAAAAATATTTTAAAAGAATAATACTGTCTATATTTTCAAAATCACCTAAACACAATAATCATCAATCATAATTAATAATAATTTTAGAATGATAGTATTATAATGTTAATTTTATGAGCTCAATTTTTTAAGTTCTGAATATAATTTTTTTTATATTATGAAATTAATCGTAGCTATACACATAAAATCATATACTGTTTCAATAAATATTACATTATAGAATATCAATAACAATAATATTAATTTCTAAATATAATCCAATCGAGATGTTTTATATACTTACAAAATTTTAAATATTTTTTGTGCTCATGTTTACGAAATGTGTTGTAAATAGATTCAACGCCGGTTCAATAATGCTGAAAGGTAGAGACATACATCCATGTTTCTTCCAGGCTGGCTGTGGTTACGACAACACAGAAGCTGGTAAAGATAAAGGTCGTCGACAAACAGATGACAGTAGCGTGTCGAAAGGCACCAGAGAAACTTCCAAAGAAGACTTATCCAGGTCAGGAGTGATGTATATACAATAATATATAAATATATATATATATATATATCCATATCACACCCCTGTATACGTACGACTGATTCGATTCGTGAAACGGTCCCTATTTATTTTGAACATTTCATTAAATATGTACATTTAATTATTTCATAATATATGTCGTTCACTATTTACAAATGACCTATTTTTTCATAAAGACATTCTTAATATTGCACTTCATGTAAACATTCGTAATGAAAAGCAAATAAAATATATAATATCAAAAAAAAAAAAAAAATGAAACATACTAGGTAATATTGCAAAAAGGATTTCAATGCATGTATTATTAAATATTAAAACTTAATTTCATATAATCGTTCAATATTCAAAATTAATCACACAATTTTTATCTAAGGCTTTAAATATTCTTTTTGCAAACATAACATTTTTAAAAAGTCGAAATATTAATATTTTATGTAGAAAACACGATACTATTGTCTTAAAATGTCTACTATTATGAAAGTTAAAATTAGAAACTTTTATGTCTAGTTTTAGGTAATATTGTAATAATTTTATTTAATTACTGAGATTGATTATCACAAATTAAAATATTTTGTTCTGTTTTTCCATATGATTTTGAAACTATGAAACTATTACTTTTGAACTCTAGTGAATTATTTTTAAATAATATTTATATAAATTTACATTTTCACAAAAATGTGTTAAAACTGTCAATATTTAATTTAATTCCTTATAGATGATCAAATACTGACATCCTCTTAATCCATAGAATTAAACAAAATTTAAATTAAATACTTCAGTCATCCACGTATTTAATAAAAAATAATATTTTTGATGTATCCTTACTATTTTTTTGCTGATTTTGTAATAATCATACGTATATCAATATTTAAATAAATAATTATCATATTTATGAAATCATAATCATATCATTATGGTGATTTTCTGTAAGTTTAATTTGACTATCTTTTGGTTTGTAGAAAATATGATATTGAATTATATTAAACCGTTATATACAAAAAACTAAATAATTTATACAATTTAAACTTAAGTGCTATTTATTAGGCCTTAAACCATGAATGTTCTAAAATTTTAAAATTTCATAAATTGATTATCATTCGACATAACTCAGTTATGAGAATCATACATTTTCTACTCAGTTCATAAATTGTGCTAAAGATTTTCTATTTTATGAAATCAGTGAAGAGTTTTTGTTTCACAAATCTGGCAATTTTAAAACTAGGATATAACATATATGGTGTTCTCTAATATTTCAACTTCTATCTATTATTAATATTACCAAAAACATTTTCACATCAAATTCAGTACCAAAAATATCTCATATAATTCTAAAGCACGATGAAGCGAAGTATAATACTGTTTTATCACTTCTATAAGAAAATAATATCCCTGGGGAGATAGCCGTTCATATATTCGAGTTATTTTTGTAGTTCTGTATCTTGTTGTGTTTGTCTAAGGTATTTTGTTAATGTTCAATTTTTTTTTTTGTATTGTTCCCATAAGTCTTAACTATAAGTTTTTCTAATAGAAATTTCATCGACTACCGCAATAATAAACTTCACTTGCTTTTATTTCTACTCTTTAAAACAGAATTACATTTTTAATGTATTCCGTCTTTAATTATTCGCATACAATATTTTTACCTTTAGTGCTTTGAGTTCTTTAATACGAGATATTGAATTATAACAATTATGATAATTATTCTAAACTATGCAGTCTATGTAACCATATTAATGTACAAATATAGCTAAGTTAGCTTTGAATTATTTAAGAGCAAAATATATTTAATGTACTTGTATATTTTATAAAATGTAAATGAATGACACTAATATTCGAGTGCTTAAATAATTTTTATGACTGGTACGGTAGAGCATGCAACTTTATTGCTTTTGGAAAAATAAAAGTCTGAAAAACTTTTATTATGTTCATTCTCTATACAAAATTGTTGTTGACTCTTAATCTGCCGCCAAAGATTCTCTTTGTACTCGTAGCCCGTAGGTATCTCAAAAACAATATAATATTCTTAAACGCCTATATATCTAATAATAAAATGCTATTTTTTCTGGTTTCTTTCATTCTTATTTTAAGATTTTATCATAATACTATGTAATAATTATTTATTTATTATTATATTTACTACATTTTCCAGAACATATGACACTAAAAAAAATGTCTTACAATACTTTATTGGTTAACTTTAGTGATGGAGAAGGAGGTAGTTGTCAGGTACATGGGGTGGCACAAAGTCTGGTGTCCGATGAGATATCAGTCACCGAGATGACAACAGATTGCAGCAAGAGCTCTATCTTACTTAGGAGTCCCGGATTTCTGCATTCATCCTGTCCTCCAGCCATGCATAAGTCGTGTTTTTGCATCCGATTCATCGCAGAACACACGAAAATAACGGACGACGCGACCAAAGTACGTACATCAAACCCTGATTTACCACGTCTCTGATAATAATACTCTATAAACTTATTGTAAAATATAATATTAACTTTCCCCATTTACATAACATCGTATTTTATGAGTATCGTATTGGCCTCGTTCTACTCGATTTCAAATGCAACAAAAATATTTTATTTTATTAATAACATTTTTCTTTTTTTCTTTTTTTTTTTTATTTGAGAAATAATAATAGACCTCAAAAACCCTTAGTAGCATTTTCTTACGTGAAAAATATTGTCTAGATGATATTTTTAAGAAATGGGTTTTCAATTACTTTAAGAACTTGTCTACTCATACGGAAAACAACTGAAAAACGCAAAAGAAATGTAATTATATTCATTCGATAAAATCAATAAAAAATATGATAATTGTATACTATGATTTGAAAAAATAGCACTTATTACATAATATAATATATTATACGTATTGTCATTATAATATATAATCGTTTTACAAATGTATCACAAAACTAGGTACATATATTACCAATGCGAGTGAATAAAAATGAGTGCTGAATATTTGTTTACTGTAAGAAATAATAAACGTACTCATTTTATATACAAATTAGTTTCTTATATTTGTATGCTCAAGATTTATTAAAGTTATATTTTTTAACGAAGCATATCTCATACACAAAATTCTCTCTGATCGTTTAGCTTGTAATCGATTTACCGGACAGTAATTGTAGTATATAAACTGATTCACGAAAAAAAGTGATTAGCTATTGACAATATTTTATTTACTAACTAAATTGAACCTCTCTTAGTAGCTTTATTAATTATCTGTCTTTTTTAAATTACCAAGAAAACTTCAAGTTCAATATAATCTAATGTTTACCAATAACTATAAATGAGTTAAATAAAATACCTTATTTTCAAAATGTTTATTGAATTAAAATTATAGACATTATACCCACTAAATTAAATAATAAACCTTAAAATTTTTAAATGAATTTAGTATTTTAGCTTACATTTTAACTTCTGGGCAAATGAGGTAATTTTAATTTTACAAAGATATGTGTTTCTTATATTTATGACTGGATAAAATACTCTGAATACAAATTTTGGTAGAGGTTTCTGTAACCAATCGGATTTTATTAGTATTTTTAAGGTCTAATTTAAAAAATCTAAGCACTTTTTAAAAAAGTTTTGAGAAAAAACAAGAATATTTTGTTAAAATTATAATACTATTATTATTAAAATAATTGTTTGGTAAATTTATTTACAAGATAGTTAGACATTCTTTACTCAGAATTATTTTCATCATATAGGTATAATGACTTATCATTTGATTCAAATTTAACACATCCATTAAAATGCCTACTCAATGACAAGATACACTCGATACCTTCTGTATAGCAGAGTTATTACATAGGTACTTACTATATAGTTTTGTTTCAAAATATAAAATCATTAGATTTTAAAAACTGAAAGAACTGTAAAAATTGAAACAATAAAATATCACAGTAACGTCATTATATTTTTTCTCATTTTATAAATTTGTTTATAGAAATCTACGATGATAAGAATGGTTTACAGGGAATTAATATGATTATATTTTATGGGGGGTTTTAATAAGTTGATTTTTACTGTATTTTTGTACTTATTGTCAAGATGCTTGACTATAAAAATAGGATGATTAAATATGATCTTGAAACGTATGTGAAGTATCATAGCCGTACTCAAAATACTTATATAGGTACCTATTAATTTTTATTTTTTGAAATACGGCTGAAAACAAATATTACACACTCTCTCCTGACCACTGTATAGTCTACTCGCGTGTTTTTGAACGTTCAACGGTAAACCTTAAAGCATTATAATTTATTATTATAATACCTATCAAACTTACTATATTATCATATATACTTATGGCGCCACTCTATTCCGTCTTACTTGCCTGACTTCGAACGAAAACTTTGCGCTCTATGGGTGCAATCAATCAATCAATCTCAACGCCTATCCGGTGCCCGCTTGTATATAGAAAACAATATTATTTCCGTATGGTTATACTACATATACTCTGTGCAGGTGAAAGAAGATTGGAAGTATGTCGCGATGGTCTTGGACAGATTATTCTTATGGATATTTACACTGGCGGTGTTCGCGGGCACGGCAGGTATTATCCTACAAGCGCCCACGTTGTACGATGATCGGATACCGATCGACAAAAAGTTTAGCGAATACCAAACGTAAGTATGGAAGTCTTTACTATAATATTATAATGTAACATAATAACAAATATATTTTAATACGACGCGAACCTGTCAAAAGTGGCGTATCTAAGGATTGTAGAAGTGCTGGTAGAGGGGTGATTAAAATGTCATAAAATAACTTTCTAAGTTTCTCTTTCGATATAAAAGCATTGTTCTTAAATTTTTAAATTTTAGTTTTTTCAATAATATTATTCGGTGTGTATTCTATTCGACAATAACTCTACAGTTAAATTTTTACAAGCACAATTTAAAATATATATTATTTAAAAAAACCACAATTACCCTCTAGAAGTCAGGAAAATCTGCCCCCGTTACCCTTAATACATGTCATTAAACAACAGGATGTCGATCGTAATATTATCACTGCTGATAAGGCAGATTTTATACATTTAACACAAATGAAATATTCATCAAAATATTATGATTATACTATTGTAGTATTATTCATGTTGTTAACTTACTTCTGAGAAACAATATAATATTATGCACATGCATAGTCGTTTAAGACGATACTATTTCTGTACAAAAATATATAAAATATGATATCATACAAGTGCATAGTTTTATAGTTTATGAACTTCAAAATAATATAGCTAAGAAACAAGAAAGCCGGACGGGTTGTATTTTTACTCGTGTTTAATGTTTATATTACCAAGTACATATCTTATAGCTTTTAAAGGTCTCTTTTATTTAAATTTCACGGCGAATAAATATTATATAATGTTTTTTATTAGCACTTTAATATAAAGTATTTGATATTAAATTAAATTCTATAGTATATTTTAATATTAAGATATTCTGTGCAATTTCCATAACAAGTTTTTTTTCTTTTCTCCAAGTAATATGATGACATGTTAAATTATAATACAAGTTTCAATAATATTATCTTGTGATTAGTTAAATAACTTAATTACTTAGTTAATAAAAAAAAAAAAAAAAAAAAATTGTCATTTAAATATAGGTACTATACTGATATCTGATGAATGTTGTGTTAAAATCTATAGGAATAGTTTAACATAAAAATATAAATAAAATAATAGTTTTTATTTTTTTTCATTATAAGTTATGTTAGGCAGTTAGGTTAAAAAATATTTTATACGTATTCAATATTAACTCTGATGTTTATAATATAATGATAATTAAAAACTTATGAATTGAACAAACGTTAACGGACAAAAGAAAATAAGTTATTAGTTTTTGGGAAATGGAAAAAAGTCTAGTTTTTGTATTTTTTGTTTTTTTTTTTTTGCGTATACTAGAAGATGAATCCAAAACTAACTATTTCAATAGTTAAAACTATATATAATATAATATTTTTATTTTTTTTTGTAAGATATAAATGTAATAAAATTGACTTATTCCCTTATACCTTCGCAATGACCAATAATTGTTCGGAGTGTTAAAACAATTTAATAATTGCAGGTCACCTAGCATAAGGAAGAAACTGAAGATAGGCCGTTATTGAAATAAAGTACCTATAATTGTAATTATTATAAATCGATAGCGTTTTTTTTTTCAGTTGCATTTTTTAAATCTCTTACACATATAACCAAGTACACAACGCCCGTGCATTTACAGGCCTTGCGGTCTTGCATTTTACATGTCATATCAATCGAACTTTCACATTTTCCCTCATTATCAAAATACACTTAATTACCGCTGGTATAAATTTTCATGAATGATTTTTCACACATATTTTATTGCACAAAGTTTGAAATATTATGTACATTTAGTTTTGTGAATCACTAAGACCTTTTTTGTATAATATCTCATTAGTTCAAATTTTGATGATTGAAATTTTTAAGAACCTGTAATCAAAAACTATATTTTTAAACTTTTGAGTGTTTTATGTTGTTTAAAAAGAATCCCTTTTAATGGTACAAATATCTTTCTTTCAAACAAATGATTTTTTTACTACAAATAGTTTTTAATAACGATTTAGAATATTGGTGAATGATTTAGTTACTATGATAAATTAAACGATAAAGTAATACAAATATTAATCTATTGAAATTTTATAATTTACTAAAATTTTCTTAGTTAAATTACAGTTAAATACAATAAAAAATAATTCATATTTATATATATTAATGTAAATGTAAAATCATTATTAAAAAATAATATCCATAAAATAAAGTTTAACAATATAGAATTTATCCGTTCAGTTTTATATTTAAATACATAAAAATCATTGAAAAAAAAAATCATCTACTTTAAAATTTTAAGTAAAAAAAGTAATTTTTACATGATAGAAAAATAATTCGTATAACAACAAAACAATTTAAAATAAAACATAATGTATTTGAAAATGCTGTGTTTAAGTAGATATACTTCAAATTAAAATAACAATAACCATAAAATGATATCTATATAAATGCATTGTCAAACAATGATAATAACAGAGCATGAGCATGTTTAAAAATCCACTCTGTTTATGTATATAATATTTATCCACTATGTAGATTTATGGAAAAACGTTATTATGTGTTAGCAATTTAAATTACATACACTCATACACGATACACATTATGGGTACACAGGAGGTTTGATGTGCCTACAACCGTAATACACTATCGCACATTATTTTTTAAATTGATTTCGTTTGCCAGAAAAATTTATACTCTAATGATTTCGCTTCGAAATGTTTACGTTTTGTTGTGAAATAAACAGTTCATGTGATCAGATTGGTCAAAATGATTTTTCCACTCAATAAGCGTATTATATCATGACGTTCTTCCTTATTTGTTCGTTATACACATTACGCTCAAAACGAACTGTAGCCTAGCCATATTATACGATATTGTGTTCTTGACAAGTAGTGACCTAAACGAAATTGAAATAATCCAACTAGTTCGATGATTAATACATCTTTTTCACTAGATTTACATTTTAATGTTATTTTATGTATAGTCTGACAAACAGAAAGTTAAAAATAATAAAATATAAAAATAAATATTATAGGTATACTACACCTATAAAACACATAATTATTTATTTATTTTTTTACTTTTTAACCAAAATAATGATAGAAAAAACCATATTTTATATAGAAATCTATTGAATTTACTTTGACTGAAAATCAAATAAATGTAATACAATTAATTCAACACAACTTAACAATATATTATATTGCAAGATATAATATATACTTGGATATAATCACGTTTGGTTAAAATATTAAAAATGTTTCTTTATAAAGCATTTGACTATATCCTTGTATTGCTGATTCAATATTAACAATATCTTTCAAGTAGGTAACATTTTTCGATTTATTCATGTAAATATTAATTTAATTAATTTTATTTGTATAAATTCATTGTCCCCAGAAATTATGTCATTTTTTTGTACAATATTTTTTTTTTGTATTTTTTTATTAGTAAATAAAGGAAACGAGTTTTTTTATGAATGAAAAGAAAAATTCGATTGTAGACCGCCTTTGACTCGAAAAGGTACGTGGTCTAACAATATAAGATTGAATTTCAAAAGCAGTTCATTAATAAAATTGTTGTATCAATAAAATGATAATCAAATCATTATAATATAACGAAATATGATAGTTTTTGAAATATTTAATCTAAATTAATAATGATTAACACAGAAATGTTTATGTTCAGCCTCAATTTCGCATTTCAGAACCATTTCACTACCTAAGCCATCAAAAATATTTGTACATCATTTTGGTATACACATTTAATATTATACATTATTAGAGATACTGATTCTCATTACATAAATTGTATAGCTTTGAGCCGTTTTAAATGTTTATATAAAATATGATTATACTTGCTCAATTTTATCTTCATAACATATTTCATTGTATTCAGTAGTCCGTGAAAAATTTAAAACTAGTTACACGATTCATAAAATAATCATACGTATTATCCGGGAACTAAATCTCCGAATTTTTCTGATAAATGTATTAATAAAAATAAAAATAAATTAAAGTTAAGATGAAAATGCTTAATTCGTATAGTTATTTATAAAATAATAAATTATGTTTTAGGTTTCATGGTAAAATGGATTTAAGATATTTTACGTCTAAAGAACGTTTTATTCACACATTAATAAATTATTTTACATAATTTTAAATATCGATACAACTTTCTTAATTATTTTTGCCATTCCAGGATTTATTATTGAGACATTATTTTTTCAATGTAGAATTGAAAAACTAAGATTATTGGGAGCAATTCAATAAGTATTATACAAAAAAAAAAAATACATATTAATTATAATTTATAATATACCTAAAAAATTATGTATTTATGTATAAATATTACATAAATTTACTTTTAAATTAAATATTGAAAATAATTATTACATTTTATCCATAATACATTTAAGTGAACATATTTAATAAATAAAATACATATTATTGTAAATATAAATCCCATAATTAACACATTTTATAACATTTACGAAGAGTTCAATTCAGAATGGATTTCATTAGAACAATATTATTGATGGGTAGAGAGGGCATTTGTGGAGAAAAAATTAGTGTAAAAAGAAGATAAATATTTAATAGTGTTTTTAAATATAATTTGTTAAACAATAATCAAGACAACAGCGAAATTAAATTACAAGTGACAGAAGTCTTATATTCAACACCACAATTGAACATGATGCATACGGTTAAGAGGTATCGACTTTAATACTATGTGAATTGGTAGAAAATTACGAGATATCCATATAATAGAACATTTTGATTTACAAACCATAGTTTAATGAAAAAAAATAGAAGGGATTCATTTAAGAATTAAGACATACGATGCTGAAAGGTTTTCAATTCTATCATTTTAACTTCCGTAGTGTATAATTAAATCAGTGGATGTATCAGATATTTCAGAATACGACTGGACAGAAAAACATATATTGACTAAAAAATACTATTAAAATAATACATGAGTACATAAAGAGTAACTTTTTAGGTATTAGGCAAAGAAGTTTAAAGCAACCTTTACTGATTTGAATAATATAAGAACTTCAAAAGAAAAAGTTTGTGAACTTTGTAAACTCGAATAAGAATCTACAGTAACAGATACTAAATCATATAATGATAACAGTGTAAATCTTAGAAAAGATCTCCGATTATAATTAACCACATAGGTAAATGGTAAGTTAGGATAAAAGATATTTACTTTTAGAAAGTAATTTTCCAGTTTACCAACAGTATATTATAATGTGAAGTAGGAGACAAGAACCTTTACAGTTTACTGCAGTATCAAATTGAAATTAGGTGTCGATTTAAAGGTAGGTACCAAGTCAGTACGTAAATCACTTACTGACCGTGGTCAGTTGAGTCTATTGTGTTGAGATAGAACAGAATAAAATACTATAGAATATAGTTTACTAACTTAACATAATAATATATCAACTATGATTGTTCCAATGTCAATAAGCACATACCTATAAAATATCTAATGGTTGTTTTAATATTAAATCACAAATAGATATAAATTCACTTTATATGTATATATGTTGTATGTAATATAAAATATCAACAAACACAACAAACAAAACAACGGATACACGAAACATAGAAATACGAATTATTAAATTAGTTATTATCTGTCTACTAATGTTTAATAAATTGTCGCATAATACCTACGTATATAATTATTAATATATATTTTGTTTTATAAAAATATTTATAAAATATATGTTTATATCTCACGCTTTTCATCACCAAAATGTATAAGTAGATTATTTTACATACTGAACCGCTATTCAATTATCGTTTCGTTTCGTTATTATTGTTTCCGTCTTACATAACAACAAAACGGTGCAGTTTTAGAATATAATATACTGTATAGTTTATTATTGTGTATTCGCAAAAGAAAAACGGTAATATTCTTGTCGTCTTTAATGCGTTCATGTTTCGCACGTATTTTAAATATACACTTAATCCCATAATATACACTTTGTAGATAGTCATAATGACTTTTATCAATAATTCTATACACATTATTTAACCACGGTACATTGTTCTTTATGGTTATTGTTTCAGGTATACATCGTACAGTTTGACGCAACGCGAAGGCACCTAAAATCTACAAAAAACAAAAACAAATTTCAACGCTGGAGAAGTAATTTTTTAGTTGCAGTTTCAATTGCAGCGGTTGTTCATGATGATGATAATATTAATAAATTAGCCGAAAAATAATAATATAACTATGTTTTTATACGTTTAAGTTTTGTTGTATATTAATTTTGTTATAATACTAATAACGATAATTTCAATGATGCCCACTAACAGAGTAATTTATTACGCAATAATAATAATAATAAAGCACAGACACTGTACGCGTGTGTCCAATAATAATACTATATTATTATTATAAAATCAAAATGTATTTGTATAATAATAATAATTATTATTATTATTATATTATATTATTATTATTATTATTATTATTATTATTATTATTATTATTATTATTGATTAATTTTTGTGGCGAATTTTACGAGTTTAATTTTATATAGTGACCGCTGACCACAACATTATAATATATTATTATTATACAGATTGAATTTTATTTAAAAAGGATTTAAAAAAAAAAACTATCTACTATTATTATTATTATTATTATTAATGATAACGAAAAATGCCATTTACTAACAATAATATTTTTTACGTATTTGTGTATTTTTATTATTTTAGTTATTATTTATATTGCGTTGTCGTTTGAGTTTGCGTTCAAATGCAGAAAAAATATATATATATTTAGATAGGGTCATGCGTAGAGTGCCTTAAATATAATATTAATATAATATTCCGTAGCCTATCGTATTTACATTATAGTCTTATAACTTATCGTTTTACTTTTTTGTTTACGGTTGGATTTAAAGTTATGAGCGTTTGTATGCCTACATGCTGTTTCATTTGAACAATATTATGTGAATAGAAAAACTGCCAAAAATTGTATAACGGAAAATAATTGATGTAACTTAAGTTTTACTTAAGAATATCAACAACAATCGTAGACATTTTGTCATACGGATAATTTGTACACATCTAAAACTGGGTTAAACGTATTTTCTGCTATTGTTATTAAGCTAATTCTTATGACATTTATTAATGATTCAATGAATACGATTTATAAAGATGTATAATATTAATGTTATCCAATTAAGCTGATAAAAGTTAATTTTTTTTTTTACTTTTTTAATTATTAAATGGTAAAAAAAAAAATGACTCAATATTTTCAATGACTAAATCTCAAACCATTAATTTTAAAATAATCCAAAAAGATTAGTCTAGACGAATTGATTGAAACTTTCGTATATTAAACATCAGAATCTTTTATTGGTTATTATTGTTCAACCTATATCGCTCAATGAAATTTATCTAGCCAATCTAAAATATTGATGTTAAAAAAAAAAAAACTTTTATCGCACTCAAATAACTAGGTATATTGATCAAGTATTTTATACTCACGAAAATGATTTTAACGTTTAACTAAAGGCTTAACGTAATAAGAATTCTTAAATCCTGAAGTGTCACCATTATTCAGACATTGTTGTAAATATTATGAATTTAGAGTCTTATGTTCATCAGCTGCGATCGAATTAACGGGGGAACCAAATTTAGCATTATATATACCTAATCTTGTTAACTGCAGCTGCAGACGATAAACAGAAATTTAAAATTTGAACATTATTGCTCAATGGCTTGAATTTTGTTTTTTGTTTCTAGACTTTAAGAAATAATAATATCATGTTGAAAGATGTAAATTAGAAGACATAAATTATCAACCATTCGAACAAAAATTGTAGATTCTATTGATTGAATAATGGTTACGTTTAGATTTAAAATATATGTCGTGGCGTTAAATATATTAAAAAAAACTATAGTTTTATAGAACTATAGTAAAATATAAAATTATTTTAAATATATAGGAGTGAAGAGTCGCATAAATTCACTCGTATTGTTCTTGCTCGTGTGCTTAATTATGAAATAGATTTAAACATAAAAAAAATATTCAAAAAGACGTACGTTGATAATGTTATAAATGTAATGCGTGTGTAGGCAAAGTTTAATTGAAAAATATAATACCTGTGTTAAATTTTTGTTTATAAATATATATATATATATATTTTTTTTTTTTTTTTTTGGTGGGGAGGGTGGGTTACAATAGACTGTGATGTATTATAATTATAACGTTTATAGAATAATATCTGTTTGTAACTGTTTGTTATAATAAATACATATAGAAGGAACGTAATGAATATACACGAAATCTAAATACATTATATAGATACATGAATGTGAAATAATAATATAATATGTTATATCATGCAATTGTGTACATTTATTTGGATCCTAGTGGTTATTCTCCGATTTAATATTGTTGTAAGAAGATAATTTTACAGGAAAAAACAAAATATGGTGTCATCTATATGCAATGAAGAAATACTAACTAAATATTCAGGTAAATACAAGTTTAAAAATGATCAAAACAGTACCAAAAAAAAAAAAAAAAAACAAAATAATAATACTCATATTTATTTAGTGTGATGTCTTCTAAAATCATACTATAGCGGATATGAAATAAACCATGTATATTATTTTGTTTATTTTTCATGAAATATGTGATAAAGATACATATTAAAGTTCAATAATATTCAATATTACACAATACTGCAGTAAATACCTGCATTTTATTTGATTTTATGGAAAATATATTACTCAAGATTTAAATTACTTATCTTTACGTTTCTCTATAAACAACGACGTGCCGTAACAACAATAACAACTCGTATAAACATGTATTTATTTATTATTCTTATTGTATTTCTATTTTTCAAAAAAAAAAAAAACTAAAAATTTTAAATGTGACTATAAAATATTTCTGTCCCAAAGATAAATTGTGAGTTATAACAATTTAATGTGACATTCAAGTGAAAAATTTTAGAGAGCCACTACTACAAATCTTAAAATATTTTATATCAGTGTCTAATTATTCGTGATAATTATTTTAAGAATAATAGATACGTAATAAACAATGAATGACAAATAATGCAAAAGAGTAACTTCAATAATGTCTGTTATTATTTTTGACATTATAAATAATTAAATGTTTATAATTTAAATTTCAGTGCTAATAAATATTAATGAAAAATATTAAATTCTATGCATATATTTTTTTTTAGATGTCATTTATTTTAAATACGACTTTTAGGTTTAGTTCTAACACACACGAATAACAATTTATTTTTGATACTCCCCTACAGTTAAATCACAATACGTTATTTTACAATTGGGTAACATCTGCTGGCTAGAGTTATGTGTAACATTTTAGTTGTTATAATACTCGGAAGCAACACAATTTGCACGTACAGCATCTGCATTATAGTGAATAGTGTATACGAATAATAATACTGCAAATCAAGTATGTTAAGAATAGTTATTATTCATTTATTTTTTTAGAACACTTACAATTCTAATATTGATAATTAATATTATTCAAAGTTTTGATGATTCAAATCGCAATTATAGTTAAGTATAAAAATAAAAGAGAATTTTTTTTTATTAATATTTATATTAGACAGGAAAAAAAAATCTAAAAAAATAAGCTTGACACTATATATTAGGTTTCCAGTTATCTACAGTTGTCAGTTACGATAGAAAAAATTATGCTATAACACATTATAGTGACAGAGTGTCGTATAATATATGAATTTATTATACCTTCTAAGTAAACAAAATATCACTGAAATGTAGATGGTGATATTCTCATACGATAATCTTGAGTTTATATTATCAATGACTTTCACTTTACAAAATACAAAAAACTAACATGATATTTCTAATTAAATTCTTATACTATATCAAAATTGAATATTTATAATTTAATTATAGACTTGCATTAGTATTATATTTTTAAGAACTAACAGATTTTATATTTATATTATATTTAGTAATAGAGGAAATACGTAAAAAACTGTAGGATTTCAAAAGATAGATATTAATTTTTAAAACGGATTATGATTCATTAATAAGTTTACTATGTTTTATCTGAAGTTTGTAGCGTTCCCAATACGTATACCACTGTAGAAAATCATAATATACTCCACAATATATCTAATAGAATTTAATAAAACTCTAACATTGTTATGCATCTCCATAAAAATATTCAAGGTTTACTTTTATAAAAGAATATATAATTTAATGACATGAAAGTACTTTTACAAATTATAAAATCACTACTGAAATGGACTCATTTCTAGCCCATATTACTTTAGTCCTTATGTGGCGCTATTATTATGGCCTTTTGTATAAATATGACATAATTACTGTAACGTAAATTTAATCTCAAATTGACAATGGTTATCAATTATCATTTATCACTATTATAACATTAAATGCTTATAAAACAACTTTTACTGACTTTATTTTGACGGGATATTGACATTTTGTCATCAAACTAATAATATATATTAGCTAAACGTTCAAGACATGACAATAATTCGATTATATACATATGTATTGGTGCATAAAACTTTCCATGATAAATCGCTATAGTAGAAAATTTAAATATTATCAATGAAATATTACCATAAATACTCGTGTATACAATTACGACTTTTTATGGAATGCATTAATGTTTAACATATGTTACGACGTGCAAAATATAAAAAATGTATTCCACCAAAAAGTTCATGAAAAACATGGATTAAGAAAATTAGTTTAAAAACTGTATAATATGAAAATATTTCTCAAATTGTTTGGCAGTTGCATAAAATACTATTGAAATCTTCGAGAATAATAATAATTAATAATATTCACCAATCATCGCACAAACATTAAAATATAAATCAATATTTTTAATTTATTTCAAAGACACTAACACAAAATATATAATGATAAGATATAATTGAATAGACAGCGTGATAATTTTTTTTCCAGTAATAACGACCAAGACTGAATATCAAACGTCGAAGTATTAGAAATGAGTTTTTTTTTTTTTATTTATTTATTTAATTAAGGCATTCCTAGCTAGAATAGCTATCTAAGCCTAGAAATGAGTTGGTACCTAGTCCCTAGTACCTACATTATTTTTGTTATATTCGTTCTATTACGTTTAAAATTGTCGTTACTTCATACATATTCAATATTAATCCATACTAACTGCTTTACATCCTTAACTTCGTTCCAGAAGTCTTCTATAGTCTTAATTTTGTATAGAGAACTATTATACTAAAAAGTAAATTATTTCAAATATTTGATAAATAATTGGTGTTTTATTTTACTTATATTTTTGTTTTATTCATAAAATATTTAAAAATTAAACACCTAATAAAAATAATCTACAATGCGTAATG